GTGTAGTCTGGTCGATGTTAACCAACGTTTCAGAGGTCATACTGCCTCCGTCATCAGGGCCCTGATGATGGAGGCAGTATGACCTCTGAAACGTTGGTTAACATCGACCAGACTACACAGCGCAACAACCCAGAAGACGGAAATCTTCATCCCTACTAGCCTTTAAGAGTGCTTCTGTTTTCGCTTTTATAGTATTTATACTATCGCCCAACAGATTAATATCATAAGCATAGACCATTCAATTCCAAACTGCATTGATTTTCTTAGACTTTCCTGATGACATATTCTAAGGCAAAATTGAAAATCAGTGGCGATTGAGCATCTCCCTCTTTCAGGCCATTCTGAATAGGAAATGTATCAGAAAATTGTTTTGCTACAGGTTTCACTTAAACACATTTTAATTAGCCTAACTAGCTTCTTAGGTACACCAGATTCAAGCAAAATTCTGTAAAGAGTTTCTTTTTAAACTGAATCATAAGCTTTCTTGAAGTCTATAAACAGTTTATGGACTGTCCCATCGAACTCCACAACGCTGTTGGTGTCTCCTGAGTCCAGACTTTTTGCTGCATGTACAGGTTTTGACAAATATATTACAAAATTAAATTAACATTTGTGAAGAAATGAGATGAGAACATACCTCAAAGTAAGAACATGAACAGTTTGTAGCAGTGGTGAAATTATTTCCAAGACTGGTGCATGGTGTAAGATTGAGAGATGTCACAGACAGCTGGATCTGTTCGCCACGGTCTCCAAGTACCAACCACCCACAGGATATGAATGATTCTGTCGTGACAACAGGCCTCAGAGTGCTGGCTCTGTTGCTGACTTCGATAGTGCCACCACAAGCTACAACAAAACCAGTATATGAACATTAATAAAACAATTTCCTCAACAGACATTAAACCAAAACATCAAGTATTATCAGACTTTTGCATGTTGTACAAGAACAGGGAATATCGAAAGACGCTGTGGCAGCCACTTCAAAATTATTGAAATTATAACCATACAAAACCACAACCGAGCACCCTTTCCAGCTGTGATCTAATAGCCAGACTTTTGTAACTGGTATCTTAAGCCACGTAAAATTAGTCCCTTGTCGCCACCATAGGTACAAATGGAGGCAAAGACCCCCAGATATGGACGATAACTGTGAATATACTGACAGCCAACAAAGGGTGGTACTCCAGTTTGAGGATTGAGCTTATTTGCCAAGAACTCCTCACCACAAAACCAGCATGTCGCAAAATGTTAAACTTGGACAGATTTTCATAGCATTTGGAACTTGGAATTCAGGAGTCTCCATATGTAAGGCTGTTTGCAAACAGTAGCAAGAAAGCAATAAAATCCTCTCAGGCGATAGCAAGGAAATTAGTAAAGTGTAAGTCACATTTAATGGGAGTACAGGAGGATGATGGGACAAGGGACTATTCATTTTTAAGTGTAAATAGGAATGCTGATCATCACTTAGAAACAGGCTTTTTTATAAGGAAATTATATCGGCAGTTTGGCAGAGACAGTTTATAAATGACAGCATGTCTTCCATAACATGAAGAAGTCACTGCTGTGATATTGTTTTGAACGTGAATGCAACAACTGAAGATAAAAGTAGTAGTAGCAGTAACAACAATAACAACAACAATAATAAAACAAACATCCATATTCTTATCACCACAGAAAACTCCAACACGGAAATTCTTCCGTGTTTAATATTGACTTTATATAATGTACCGTCTCCTTCAGAAAGCAAACACAATTGTACCTTTCGACCTGTTCACTGACGTGGTTTCAAACCGCATGTATCTATTATATACGTATAATCAACAGGTCTGTCATGTCTGTCTCTCCGTCCACGTGATTTACCTCGAGAACCGTTGGATGGATTTGGATGAAATTTGGTACAAAGTTTATGTCATTTTGAACGACCCTAAAATCGCACTTTAGAAATTTCCTGCAATATTCTGGCACCGATAATAGCGCCACTTGTAATTTTTTTTTTATTTAGTGTTCTGTCTGACGACATGTCCATATGAACAGGATCCTTCCATCTTTTTCTCGGACTGGGCCCTGTTCATATACGTTCTTGGCAGATGATCCCGAAGTGGTTTGCCATTGCCTTCTTCTGTGTGTGAATGGAGTAATTGTTGGGATGCCACGGAGGAAAACTCCGTGTTGCCTAGACCACGGCCTTGCCCAACACAAGTTATAAATTTGGGCACCGCCGGGAATCGAACAGGAGACCCCAGGATTACAAGGCCAGCGTTCTAACCGCTAGACCACCGTGTAAGGTCTGTCTCGGGTACACAGAAGTAAATACCCTATAAAGTTGTGAATAGACGGAATAATAAACAGCTATTATGAAGAACTGGATCATATATCTCACAAGTTCCCTAACTTTGACATAAAAATTTTGTTGGAAGATTTCAATGCAAAAATAGTGACAAAAGACATTATCAAGCCAACAATTGAGAATTAGTGTTTGCATGAAATTAATAATCATAATGGGGTTACAGGGATACAGGATACAGGGAACGACCCGTTCTTCAAGTGCCTGAGCACTGCAGGTCCCAAAGTTTCGTTGGCTTGATCTGTAGACATTCGGTAGGACTCCTTGGATGAGGGATTGGCCCATCACAGGACAGCACAACACAGAAAAATGCGGACAAACATCCATGGCTTGAGTGGGATTCAAACCCACGGTCCCAGTGACCAAGCTGCACAAGGCCCACGCCTCAGGTCGTGCGGCCACTGCGGACCCCCCAATGGGATTACAGTGGTGAATTTTGTCATATCAAAAAATTTATTTTTCCATAGTACAACAGAAAGCTACACAATCAGATAGATCATGTCTCGATAGAAGATAAAAATTAGTACACCTGAGTTCCAATCTTTTATAGGAAGTGACTATAATACTGACCACTACTTGATGGTTACAGCAGTTAGGGGGAGTAAAGTAAAGCAGTCCCACTATACGCATTGTAGGCATTCTTAACCTTGGCAGTAGGGGGGTGAGTGGTCAGTGTCACGCCCTGGCCGCTCTTTATCCACGGGAAAGGACCCCGGTACCCATTGGATAGGAGGCTGTGAGGGCCCCAGTGCCAGTCGCAATGCAGACAAAGTTAGAGGGAGACTATTAGCAAGTAACAGAGCAATGAAAAATGTTGTCAGGCAGACTGAAATACATACAGCTGAGCTATTAATAGCGAGAATATTATTCTAAAGTCGAGAGTGCTTTTTGAAATCACTAAGTACTGATAAAATTATAGCAAAATAGATCAATGCATGATATAAAACATTATGATCTGAGATCCACAGACTTATGTCTATTTGGAATAAGGAAGGTTCATGATCGCAACTTTATAGTGAAAATGCATTCAGTGGTCTATTACCAGTTAGGAGAATCAGCAACAACATGCTTCCTTTTTGCTTTGGAAGAGACCTCGTTATGTTACCCACAAAACACCTGATGCATTTATAAATATGAATTCAGTGTCATTCAGCTATGGATTTGGGACACGTATCACTGACGGATATATAATTTCTGCTTTCATTAGATGATCTTATTGTATCTGCTTTTGTTGTTTTGAACATTTTATTCCCAATCATCAGTTGCACTTTGACAATGAATATGACGACATGAAAGAACACATTCTCACGTGCAACGATCAACTCTGCAATTGCACTGATAATCTTTAATAAACATTTCTTTCACTACTAATTGTTTCTTGTCTCAAATGATTTCACTCTGACTTTTCTCTTTGACCTTACATCAAACAGGTGGGCTGTAGAGACCATGAGAAGGACCTGGTAGACACACGGCTGTCACACCTGCACTAAAGCCCCTATAATTGACCAAAGTATGAACTTTCATGTGAAACAGTGTGGTCAACCTAAGATACTTCACCTGTGAGACCTAGTACGAAAGACGATATGCTACGCAACATTCAAAATTTTAGATGACACAAAGTCTTTCAAAGATGACAGCAAAGAGAACCCAGAATCACCTAATTAATTAAGTTTATGTGTCATCACGTTGTTACGGAAAGAAGTTATACTGAATAATGAAGGCCGTTCAACCACGAACATTATAAAATCAAAGCGCAGATCTCGACTTACTGACGCCCATCTTGACGGTTGTTTGCGAGCAGTAACATCATCCTACACTCCCAAATTTGAAAAACTGGCTGATGAAATGTGGCGCCAAACATCACACTAACTTCCCACTTGAGTAATAATAATTGTACTTATAAAACTATATATTTTGTATTGCACGGTTTCTTGTATCATTAAACGTCGTGTTTTTTGTGTATTATTTGTCCAGAGAAAAGAAAATTTGGCTTTGTTAATTGATTGGTGCCCGCCACGATCTCATAAACTCTCAAATGTGCCCGTAGGCACAAAAAGGTTGGGGACCACTGGCTTAAACAATGTTTAAAGTGAATAACAGCATCTCTGAATATATATTATGCAGTCTCTTAATCTTTTACAACAATTTTTGTAAAAGTAACATAAGTTTAATCTATACGGCATTTTAACATTCTTACATGCAAATTGTGCTTTTATAGGAAAAATAAAAGTATTAATGTGCACACAATCTATTTGTTATTAGGAGGTCCTTGTACAATAATTTTACAGTTAAGTCAGTGTAATGACTGACTAGCACTTTAGTATTAATACTGAGCACAGTCTGGAAGTGTACCTGTCTGAAAGATAACCGCTGCTGTAAAACCTGGGTAGCTTCGTGAGTGGTCAGACAGGAACTGGACCAGCATCTTATTGCCAGTAGAGTGCAGGATAGGTGGTGACTTGCTATGGTTACCGCACAGCTGTGCCAGCAAAAATGTACTGTTCATGCTGTCCCCATCAAACACTCTCACAAAGTCATAGTGGCACCGGTCACTGAACTCCACAACAAACTTGGAGAATCTGGAACAACCATGAACATTATATGTTGATGAAAGTTTTAACTAAATGGACTACATACCCTTGTGTCATGTATAGGATCCAACTATTAACGTCATCAATAAAATCTTCTCGGGTAATCAGCAGCGTCAACTGGTTACCATAGTAAACCAGCCGACGTGGCCGATTGCCCGAGAAGATTTTATTGATTGTACTCACCGCGAAAGTCTCAAATCCTGTATTAAGGTCATACTCCATGACCGTCTGGGCATTCGAAGACTAGTTTCTGATGGGTTATAAGAACAATGCCACACCGGAAACAGAGCAGGGTTTTAATTTTTTGAGCAGAATTTGAAACTGTATAAAATGAATTCACAGCTATACAGGATCATTGCTGATGAAACCCAGATTCATCACTGAGATGAAACAAAGTAGGAGTTAATGCAGCCTCCAATGAAATTTTTAATTTGTTCTTCTGATGAAAATTCAGGCACAACCAGGGGCAGGAAGGGTCATGTCCATTATTCCTAGAATTTAGCACATATAAATTATAATGAAAAATAATAACTGTAGATACTTCTTGAACCACCCTAATAATGTCGTTGATTTAAGAAATAAACCATAAAATAACGCACATAATTATATGTAAATGAGAGAACACAATTAATAAGCTATAACTATAAACTGAGGACATTAGGGAATAGAATATCATATATATAAATACATATTCTACAGCAATAGAATAGCACTAATGGAGATACATGTAAGAATGTGTAGTCTACAAAATTTTGGTGTTACATGGACAGAGATATGTGTAATAAAATAAAACTTTATCATCATTATCATCATCATAAACAACAACAACAATCTTAAGAATAAAACTCCAATGTACCCTCATTTTATTGCAGTAATTTCTAGCCAAACAGAATACAATGAGATGAAACTTGCGGATTTGACTAGGGTTCCATCTATAAGACCTGCGCATGATCCACAATGCTTAAAACAGTTGCATTAAATAGGATTCAAGTTATGGAAGAAAAGTTAATGACTAGCATATATTATTAATTTACTGATATCACAAGACCATTCACACAAAGTGCCATCAACAATGACTATGGGGGTTGATATAGCAGTAACACTCCATATTTGAATTTGTGAAAACACCTAGTGTGGAGCTCACTTATATTTCCAGCTAATCTAACCGAGGTCTTACCTGGACTTTCTATCTCTTCAAGCTACTTAATTATGGTGTTTCAACAGCAACGGAGTAATAATAATTGTACTTATAAAACTATATATTTTGTATTGCACGGTTTCTTGTATCATTAAACGTCATGTTTTTTGTGTATTATTTGTCCAGAGAAAAGAAAATTTGGCTTTGTTAATTGATTGGTGCCCGCCACGATCTCATAAACTCTCAAATGTGCCCGTAGGCACAAAAAGGTTGGGGACCACTGGCTTAAACAATGTTTAAAGTGAATAACAGCATCTCTGAATATATATTATGCAGTCTCTTAATCTTTTACAACAATTTTTGTAAAAGTAACATAAGTTCAATCTATACAGCATTTTAACATTCTTACATGCAAATTGTGCTTTTATAGGAAAAATAAAAGTATTAATGTGCACACAATCTATTTGTTATTAGGAGGTCCTTGTACAATAATTTTACAGTTAAGTCAGTGTAATGACTGACTAGCACTTTAGTATTAATACTGAGCACAGTCTGGAAGTGTACCTGTCTGAAAGATAACCGCTGCTGTAAAACCTGGGTAGCTTCGTGAGTGGTCAGACAGGAACTGGACCAGCATCTTATTGCCAGTAGAGTGCAGGATAGGTGGTGACTTGCTATGGTTACCGCACAGCTGTGCCAGCAAAAATGTACTGTTCATGCTGTCCCCATCAAACACTCTCACAAAGTCATAGTGGCACCGGTCACTGAACTCCACAACAAACTTGGAGAATCTGGAACAACCATGAACATTATATGTTGATGAAAGTTTTAACTAAATGGACTACATACCCTTGTGTCATGTATAGGATCCAACTATTAACGTCATCAATAAAATCTTCTCGGGTAATCAGCAGCGTCAACTGGTTACCATAGTAAACCAGCCGACGTGGCCGATTGCCCGAGAAGATTTTATTGATTGTACTCACCGCGAAAGTCTCAAATCCTGTATTAAGGTCATACTCCATGACCGTCTGGGCATTCAAAGACTCGTTTCTGATGGTTTATAAGAGCAATGCCACACCGGAAACAGAGCAGGGTTTTAATTTTTTGAGCAGAATTTGAAACTGTATAAAATGAATTCACAGCTATACAGGATCATTGCTGATGAAACCCAGATTCATCACTGAGATGAAACAAAGTAGGAGTTAACGCAGCCTCCAATGAAATTTTTAACTTGTTCTTCTGATGAAAATTCAGGCACAACCAGGGGCAGGAAGGGTCATGTCCATTATTCCTAGAATTTAGCACATATAAATTATAATGAAAAATAATAACTGTAGATACTTCTTGAACCACCCTAATAATGTCGTTGATTTAAGAAATAAACCATAAAATAACGCACATAATTATATGTAAATGAGAGAGAACAATTAATAAGCTATAACTATAAACTGAGGACATTAGGGAATAGAATATCATATATATATAAATACATATTGTACAGCAATAGAATAGCACTAATGGAGATACATGTAAGAATGTGTAGTCTACAAAATTTTGGTGTTACATGGACAGAGATATGTGTAATAAAATAAAACTTTATCATCATTATCATCATCATAAACAACAACAACAATCTTAAGAATTAAACTCCAATGAACCCTCATTTTATTGCAGTAATTTCTAGCCAAACAGAATACAATGAGATGAAACTTGCGGCAAAGATTACATGAGAGTTAAGCAGAGGTTTTCAAGATAATATGTGGCACTTGGTCCGAGAAAGTGAAAAAATAAAAAGTGCAATAAGTGTATTCAGTAGAGTTGATTACCGAACAGTCGTTCATCCAGGCTCCTCCCGACTTCACTAAATTTGCACCTTGTATTCTTACATCAAGACCTTCAAGGCATTGTTTTGGCACACTACATCTCAGAAAAATACCTAAAATATAATAAGTAATTTTTGTAAAAACTGTCACCATTATTTATACCCAGACTGGGCAGAAATTTGGTTGACCACAA